GGGGGGGGGGGTGAGAGAGAGAGTGTTTGTATTGTGTACATTAGTTTACGCACGTATGGAAAAAAACTGGAATGCTATACACCGAAACACTAATTGCTCTTTTGGGAAAGTTAACTTTCACTGTCCTCTTACCTGATTTCTTTAAATAATGAGCATGTATTTTTGTAATGGAGAAAAACAATAAATTTAATTTTGGAGAAGCCATATCCATTGGAATTATAACCTCTTCTTGATTAACTTCTGTTGAAATTATCTTCTCTTGTATTTGCAGATGGACACATGTTGAATTCAAAGAGATATGCTATTATTGGAGCAGATCTTCGGGATTTAGCTGAGCTGGAGGAGAAACTAAAGAAATGTAACATGAATACACAGTGAGATTTTTTTTAACCTCTTACACGTTTGTGGTCTCATGCTAACATGAGATAAGGCCAGTAGGAAGTGCAGCGTGATACCCAGGCCCCGTTTTTCAGTGCATCGTTACCTTGAGTAATTTTCTGAACCTTTTAGAAGCACTGTTTCTCAAGTCTGTTTTACATCAGAATCCCCTGTATTGCTTTTGTAAAATACTGATGTATAATATAAACAAAGCTTGAGAGAAGATAATTGTATGCATAGAAACATACAATTGGAACATACAAAGAAAGGATTAGCATCCAGAATATATAGAGAACAGCTACTGTTAAAAAAAAAAAATGTCCCATAGTCCAATGGTAAAAAAAAGACCAGGCATCTCATAGAAGAAACTAAAGAATGTCATAGGAAAAGGGTACAGAACCACAGTAGTAATCAGATGAAATTCCATTTTACTCCCATCAAGTTGGCAAAAATGTAAGAGTCTGGCAATATTAAGTGTTGACAAGGTGACAGGGTGAAAGGAAAGGAAAGGAAGTGAGCTTAGTACTACCATGGTGAGGAACAGTCTGGAAATCTGGTGAGATTGCAGATGCCTGCACCATGTGATACAGCAGTCCCACTTCCAGGTGTGTCCCCTGCATATATGCACAGGTGGGTGTTCATTGCAGCCACCGTTTTTAGTAGCAGAAAACTAAACAGAGCCTTAGTGCCCTTCAGGAGGGGAATGGACGAATCACCTGTATGATGCACCCCCTGGTCAACTTGGAGAGAGCTCAAAAACTTAATATTGAGTAAATAATCAGGTCACAGGGTAATATGTTTAGTGTATAAAAAGTCAAATCCCCCCAATGCTGTGTTTTCATGATTACATATGTACCTCACAGGAGTATTTTTAAAAAGAGGCAGAAGGGTTCACACCGAATTCTGGAGAGAGAGGGCCTGTGGGGCACAGAGGGCATGAGATGTGTGACTGTAGCTCGAGGGATGCTGGTCATCATTAGACAAGTAAAGAGTTGTTGGTGGGAGGTAAAGGCATGTCAGTGCCGTCTGCTGTAGGGAGAGGCTTGAGAGGAAGGTGAGGTCAAGGGAGTTTATTTTAGAGAAGAAATTGAAGGCAGATATCAGTGGCATTTAGTGAAAGAAATTAGCAACTGGGGGATCATTGCTAGAGAGGAAAGGGGGCTGTAGAGTGTAGACTGAGTCTAACTGTCCTCTGGGGAAAGCAAAGATCCCCCTTCTGTGAGGGGAGGAAGGGGCGGAAGAGCAGATGCAGTAGAGGCAAGTGCTGGGCGATGAGGGAAGGGAGGTGCAGGGAGTTAAAGCTTGATTTCCTAACAGCTTTCATTTATGTCTCCATTTTGAAGTTCTTGTTTGCCTGTTTTGCCCAGAATCATCAGCCAGGTTGTCATTAGGATTTTCCTACCTACCTGTCCCCTTTTTCCCCTCTGGGGAACCTTTTACATGCCTCTCACATTGAGAGGCGTAGTGTGTTCTTTTAGCAGAAGGTGAGTCTTGACATTCAAGGACATGACTGGTTTTCCTGGGCGGGTTAGTGCGGGAAGGTCAGTAGATTACAGCTGGTACTGGTCAGCCTGCAGCCTTCCCATCTTGGAGTGTCATTCTGGGTCTCAGTCTGACCTCTCCTGCTTGTTACTGAGCAGGAGGCGGTTTTCTTTGTTTAAGAACCTCTTTGAATCAGTGTCCCCTTCAAAAATTAAGGCTTTTAGGTATTTCTGTAGGAGTTTGTTGCTTTTGCTCACTTGTTCTTACTTTGAGTCTGGTTAGTGAGAGCAGATACTAAGTATAATGTAATTTGTTGAAGACTGATCGTGTTGTTTTCAGTTCCTCATGGTATAAGCTTATGTGAGAAGAACTAGATTCTGTTAAACAAGTATCAGTATTTCTGCATTCTGTTCATCAGCTTTCATGTGTAACAAACCCTTCCAAACTCAGAAGTTTCAGACAGCTCACAGTTTAGTTGCTCAGGATTCTGAGTTGACAATTTGGGCTGGGTTTAGCTGGGTGGTTCTTCTGCTGGGAGGCCAGGCTTACCTAATATCCTCTGGGGTTCACTCGTGTGTGTGTGTGTGTGTGTGTGTGTGTGTGTGTACAGCTGGGGGCTGACTCAGTCACTGGGCTGCTTCATTCACTAGGGGACTCCCCTCCTATGACAGGCCAGCCTGGGTGCAGCAAGAAAGCAAGCGCCCATGTGCAAGTGATCGTCAGGCTTCTTGTTTGCTCCTGTTCATTGGCCAGAACAAGTTGCATGCTGACCCAGACTCCAGGGGGAGGAAGTGATCTCCACCTCTTGAGTGGCAGAACCTGCGATTTGGTGTTGCCACCATGTGGGTGCAGGGTGGAGGGAAATCTGCAGCCTTCCGACCGCTGCTTGTGGCTCACCTTTGGACTGTAGAAGTCTTTGGGGCATGGCGTGTCCCATGTGTTGCTGTGCTAACTGACCATGTGCTTGCCAAGTACTGCTGGGTCCCTGGGGTGTGAATGGCCCTGCCAGTACTGCAACACATGCACGGCCAGTCCCAGCCCGAAGAAAACACGTAGGTGCCTTTTCTTCTCCCAAGGCTGCCAACACTGCTGGTAACTGAGTGTGTGCTGGTCTACATGACTCCGGAGCAGTCTGCAAACCTACTCAAGTGGGCGGCCAGCAGTTTCGGGACCGCCATGTTCATCAACTATGAGCAGGTAAAGGAGCGCGAGAAAGTGGCAGTCTGCAGGGAGCACAGCGGTGGCTCTCCCTCTGAGCACCCTGGACAGCTTCTGCTTTCTTTACCTTCTGCCTCTGCCACTCACATGTTATTAGTCATCGCCCCAGGCCCACTGCTCCTGACTTCTTGATCTCCTGCAAACTGTTAGCCAGAGTTTTTGGAATTGCTACCTTGACCACTGTAAAAGGTTTTTGAGTTCCTATTTGATCACTGTATTTACTATCAAGTCTTGGCCCTTGATGGAGGGAGTTCGGCTGCCCACACTGTAGGGGTAGCACACTCAATGCCCTCAGAGCTGGGCATGTGGTGCAAGTGGAAGACGTTGGCGGGTGAGCAGTGTGGAGTGGTGGGGACTAGGGTGCACTGGCTGCCATGTCCCATCTCAGGAGAGTGGCTACTCATTAGTCCCAGCCAATCGTCACCAAGTGGGCCAGTGAGCCTAGTGTTGCCAGAACTCCCAGCTTTTCAGAAGTTAGAAATGCAGGATTTTAATGTAACATTTCCTAATTTCTAAATTCATTGAGCTTGATCCATGGCTGTGGGTTTGCCTGCTGATCTGGTGCAGACTGGGTTGTTTTAGAGCTTGGGGATCATCCAGCTTGGTCCGTATTGTGCCCTGTTTGTCCTTATTGGCTGTGTGACCTTACGCAGGAGTGCTTGGTGGTTGGGGTCCATGCTCTGGAGCTAGACTGCAGCTGTGTGACCATGGCAAGTTGCACAACCTCTCTGTGCCTTTTCCTCACCTGAAAGACGAGGATGGTGAAGCCCCGACCTCACCGGGTTGTCTGCCGCCTTGTGGCGGCTAAGGAAGCGCCGGCCGCCACTGTTCCTCATTCACAGCGAGAGGGGGGCTCCTCTCTGGTTTATCATGGGAACTCGTGAGCTCAGTGCTGGGCGCGTGGCAGACGCAGTACATGGCAGCTAACTTCCCTGTTTTAGTTTAGTTTAATTTTGTTGATTTTATTGTCTATCATTTTATTTTTAAATTTCGTGACAGGTGACAGCAGTGCAGGGCCTGCCCATGGTCGCATGATTAGGGCAAACCAGGGGCTAGACCTGGTCTCCTCACCCTGCCCCGTGCAGGGTCCTGTGTAGGTGGCTCTCGGGGGTGGATTTCCTCCTTCCCTCTCTAACCGGGGCGGTGCTCAGACTCAGTCTTCAGTCCTGGTGAGTGGATGTAGTGGCAGCTGCCCTCCTTGGTCTTTCCTCCTCTGATGTGAGTTAATCCTGGGATCCTGCCTTTGCTCTCAGGACACAGACCTGGGAAAATGAATTCCTTTCCGAATGTTTCCACACATTACCTTGCTTCATTGGTGTGCTCCTCTGTCCAACAGCACAGGCAGGTGGTGGATCAGTGACTTCGGCCAGAGACCTTGTCCCTTTGGAGCAGGCCTAGAAATGGGCCAGTGTCCAAAATGTTGCCCACACTGTCCCCAAAACGGTTCAGTTCCCCCCACCACTTAATTTAGTAGTTTCCTCACGCGTACAGAAGCATCCGCACCCTCACCTGCATTAGTTGCTCATGTGCCTTACTTTAGTCCCTACTTACTCTAAAATGACAAACCACGTGGGCGATGGCAACTACAGCAATGAAAATAGTAACAATAAAGCCTGTGCTGTGAGTTTCACATGTGTTCACTTACTTAGTCACAACAGCCCACAGGGTAAGTACTTGTCTTCGTGGTTTTCCAGGTGAGGGGACTGAAGCACAGAGGGCGGGCAGCTTGGCTAGTCTCTCAGCCATCAGGTGTCCGGCCGGGCATGACAGCGAGGGAGTGTGTGCTCAAAACGCCCCCTCCCGAGTACTAGTGTGCCATCTGACCCCTGGTACCGTGTAAGCTGTACACGGCAGCATGGGAGGAAATACCCGGCCGTGTGTTATTTCATTATGGGAAACATGCCAGAATGTCTGAAGCCCAAATGACGCGTTTAGCTCTCTCCAGGTTCTTCTGCACAGTGCTGCAGCGGACATGTGCAGGTGCACCTGCAGGAGAGACCGCTGCGGTGCACTGACCGCTGGGCCCGGCTGTTTCACTGTGGGGGCAGCTGCCCTCCAGGGGCCACCTGTGCCTACTCCCATCAGCACTGTGCACAGGTTCTATGACCTGCACTGGGTGCTAACAGATCTCAGTGCTAACTGGGTAGAAAGAGGATGGTGTGGTATTTTCCATATTTAAGGGTAAACCCTGATGGCAATGCCTGGCTGCTCTTTCCTTCCAGGTGAACATGGATGATCGGTTCGGGCAGATCATGATCGAAAACCTGCGGAGACGACAGTGTGACCTGGCGGGGGCGGAGACCTGCAAGTCCTTAGATTCACAGGTCAGAAAGCAGAGACTGCCACGTCCTCTGGTACCGTCAGCCAGCCAAGAAAGGAGTCCGCCCCTCACAGAGCAGCGCCTGCCTGCAGGTGGCCATGGCTCCCTGGGGGCCACTGGTTCATCACGCTCATGGAATCCAAGCCCTGCTTCCCGTCTTAGTCTCAAAAACACATATTTTGTACACCCTATTATTTTAACTTTATTTTGCACTTTTCAAACAACAGAAGAGGGAATAGTAAATGAACACCCATGTCCCATCAGCCAGCTTCAGTATTAATATTTCATAAATATTGTTTATTCTCTCCAGATTTTTGTGGGTGGTGTTGAAATATTTTAAGGCAAATCCCAGATAGTGTATCACTTCCCCATCAATACCTCAGTATAAATCTCCTGCCAGCAAGAATTTCTTCTCCCAGGTTATGACGACACCACGATTACAGCCTAGACACTGGCAGTAGCTCCCTCTTGGTGCCCAACACCCAGTTCACATTCAGTTTTCAGTTCACAGTCATTTTTTAAATGTTTGTAGTTGGTGCATTTGAACCAGGGTCCAAACATGGTCCACACTTTTTTGTGTCCCTGAATCTCTTGGAATCTATAGTAGTCCCACCTCTTTTTATTTTACTTATTTATTTATTTTTAAAAATATATCTTTATTGATTTCAGAGAGAGGAAGAGAGAGGGAGAGCGAGAGAGAGAAACATCAGTGATGAGAGAGTCATAGATCAGCTGCCTTCTGTACTCCCCCGACTGGGGATCGAGCCCGCAACCTGGGCATGTGCCCCTGACCAGGAATTGAACCGCCATCTCCTGGATCCGAGGTCGAAGCTCAACTGCTGAGCCACGTCTGGCCGGGCATCTCTTTTTAAAAATGTCATTTTTGGCTGAAGAGACACCTCCCACTCTGCCCCATTTCAATGAATAGGTGACTGTGTGTGTTCACCATAGAGCTCTGGAAAATAGGAAGAAGGGTGGTGGGTCGGAAAGGGCTTTTGAAAGTGGGGTCATGTAAGAAATCTCAGTGCTTAGAGACGCCTGCATTCACGACGTGCCTGTGCTTCTCCATTCTCTCCCCCGCGGCTCAGAGAGAGCGGCTCCTGTCCAATGGGTGGGAAACGGCATCGGCCGTGAACATGATGGAATTGTACAGCAGATTACCTCAGACTGAGGCCAGCAGGTACGTGCAACAAACAAACCCTCCCCAGGCTCCTTGCGGAACAAGTTCGCCTAAGACAGACTAGACGCTGGGCCCCACTGGGAGCGCATTGCTGTCAGCTGAGACGGGTCTGTGCCAAGACAGGTGATCTTCGCCAGACAAGCAGTTACACCTGCAAAACTCCCAGGCCACCTGGGCAGTGGAGACTGCATAGTCCCGTGGTTGGGAGGGGGAGGAGAAGGTCCTTGTTCAGGGGCCTCTGAGGGCAAAGTGTCTGCTCACAGATTTTTAAATGGACTTTTTCTCTCATTGTGACAGAAATACACACTCATTGTAAAATAGTTTTCAAGCATGTACAGAGCATGAAGTTCAAAGTTGTGCTCCCTGCACCCACGCCCTCAGAGAGCCGTGTTCACAAGGGGCGGCATTCTCTCTGCACCATAGAAGTGCCTCTGATACAGAGATTTGAATTTTTTAATCAGTGGGTTCGTGCTACACGTATGTCTGTAAACCACCTTGCTTTTGAAAAACCTAACAACAGACTGTATTTCCCTTTCCCTGTCAAACATTGAGGGTCACCGTGGCCAGGGCTGCGACTCCTCTCTAGGTGGGTGTGCAGGTGAGGCCGTTAGGAAAACACTGCGGGCACCTTGCTGTGCTCACCTCTGGCCAGTGTTGGTGCTGTTCAGGGTTAGTTCTGTTTCATAACTGTTCTTACTTCTTGCTTTGTGCTTCCTGCTGCCTTTGGGGACCTACAGGTGTAGTTGTTGGTCTCTTGCAAGATAGTGAGAAGAACTTCAGTTTTGCTTCTCCAGAGACCTTCATCTTCACTGTGGGAAGTAGGACTTGTTTTCAGGTCTGTGTCGGCGCTTTGGAGGTCTGTGCCCGGGCTGTCTCCACGTGATCAGCCGATGCCTCCTGGCTCTTGTAGCTTCCCATTCCCACAGGCCGGTTTCTGCTTCCTTCCTGTCAGGATGACTGGTGAATGATCCTGATCTGGCCCCCGGGATGGCACTGCTCTCGCAGCTCCTCTGGGTGCCCAGGGGGAGCCTGTCACTGCTTTGGCCACGGGGCAGCAGGTTGTCTATGTGTCGCCATGGCCTTTGTGGACACATGTCCCCACAGAGGCAAGGATGAGGTGGGACAGCTCTGTGCGTCTGCCCCAGGCTGAGCGCTCCTCCCAGCTCTGCGAATGCCACGTAGTTTATGTCCATGTTTGCCAAGGGTTTTGCCAGATACTGTGCATGAAAAGAAGTGCCAGGCAGGCCCATTGACTTGCAGGTGCTGCGTGCCCTGTGTACCTGCACTTTCTAAGCACAAGGGGAATAACAGCTCAGACAGGCAGTGGTGTGCCTGGCGGTCAGCTCCTGTCGTGGTGCTGGTTTCTTCTAGAACTTGGTACTAGGAAGCCTGCCTTGAGTGTCTTCTGACTAGTTGGGAGCATTAGTTAGGAAGCAATCAAAGTACTTTACGGAGAGACATTCTCACTTCTGATATGACCCTTAGGCCTGCGCACCAAGGCAGAAACACAGGACATAGAGAAACGTGCACAAATGTGTGCACACACGCGCCCCCCCACTCCCCTCAGCCTGGACAAAAGGCAGTGCTGGGTGCCTATGTGGCCTATGTGAAGAGGAGGGACACGATTTATTTATTCATACTTTTTGGAAATGCTTGAATTTTCCCCCACCGTGTGTGCATATGACAAAATATTTAAAACCTATTTCATATATTTGTGCATGTTTCTGTGTGTGTATACCTTTAAACGTTTACATTTAAAATGCTCTTTTGAAAAAAATCGTACAAGCATGTGATTAAGAAAAAGAAATTAGTGGAGTAAAGACAAAACCCCTCACTCCACACTGCTATTCTGCTACCCTCTGTCAGCACGGGCCTTTCCTGCACAGAGGCACTAAGCCACGCACATTACTTCCTAAACCACCCGCTGGTTAAAGGCCACGCAGCTCCGAGCACTGGGGCTGCTGCATGTGGACCTGCCTGTCCCCCAAAGGCTGCTGCACTGCCCTGTGTGTGCTCCGATTCGACGGCATTTCCAGTTCATGGGGTCTTTGCTGTGCCTATGTGGCAGCTTCGGTGAGCACTCTTGCACACGTGTGCACCTTTGCACAGGCGCAGGGCATCAGAGCAGAATTAGTGAGTGAAAGGCCACGCTGTGGACTGACGGAGGTGAAGCTCACCTCCAGAGAGCCTGTCCTGGTCTGTACCCGCTGCTGGCACAGGACAGCGGCTCCCAGTCCTTCCCGTAGCACGTCGGCCTTGCCATCTTTGCCCCTCCGGTAGTTGGAAAGGTGTCAGGTATTTAAATCTAGATTTCTTTTCTCATAAACGAGATTGAAAACTGCTTGTTTTTCTTTTCCAGTGAACTGGTTTTACCTGTCTTTTTTTATTTTATTATTTTTTAATTTATTTTTTAATCTTCACCTGAGGATATTTTTTCTATTGCTTTTCAGAGGGAGAGGAAGTGAGAGAGAGAGAGAGGGAGAGAGAGAGAGACATTGGTGTGAGAGAAACACACAGATTGGTTGCCTCCCGCATGTGCCCTGACTGGGGCTGGGGATTGAACCTGGAACCCAGGAACATGCCTTTGACTGGGAATCAAACCCTCACGTGACCCTTTGGTGTGTGGGTTGATGCTCTAACCACGAAGCCACACCAGCTAGGGCAAAATTTTATTGATTTTTAGAGGGAGAGGAGGAGAGAGGGAGACACATTGATGTGAGAGAGAAACTTCAGTCAGTTGCCTCCCACACGCGCCTTGACTTGGGATTGAACCCACAACCTGGGTGTGTTCCCTGAGGAATCGAACCCACCACCTTTTGTTCTGTGGGACGATCGATGCTCCAACCAACTGAGCCACCTCGCCAGGGCTGTAATTTATTTATTTTATAAATGGAAGTTTGTGCCTCTTACTCCCCTTCACCTTTTCACCCATCTCCCCAACCCCTACCCATCTTTTAAATGAACTTTGAAGTTTTTCTTGTTGAAGTACAACAGCTCTTTATGCAGCAAGGGGGCTGGTCTGCCCTTTGTTACTTATATTGCAAATATGTTTCTGTTTTCTGGGTTTGTCTTTGTTTTTTGATCTTGCTTATGATGCTTTTTTCTTTTTTCAATAAAAATAAGTTAACATGGAAGCACAGCACACCTGCTGCTTGCAGCCTCTTTCACGTGGTCTCGGTCGTGAGCATTTTGCCCCTGTTCTGTTCCCTGCTGACCCCCAGGATCGAGTCCCTGGAGTTCCTGGACGAGTTGGAGCTCCTGGAGCAGCTCATGCAGCACTACTGCCTGTGCTGGGCGACCCGAGGGGGACGTGAGCTAGGTATGTTTACTGCTGTATTCACCCCCAAAGGGGACCCTTTAATCTGCAAAGAACCCAAGCCATGCGGAGCTCTGAGCGCAGAGAGCACTAGCGGGTGCATGTGCCCGTGACTGTCTCTGGGATTGGCCGTCACATCCCGCGTTCTGTACACAGATGCGGGAGGACTGTCAGGTAGAGCCCTGCACCAAAGCCAGCCAGCCGCCCTGCACAGGTGTGCGTGGGGTTGCTTCAGGTGTAAAGACCTGGAGAGTTTAAAACAGTATTGATCTTAATGAAAGTGACCAGCTTATAATCAGGCCTCCTAGATGGCAGCCACAGACTGTGTCTCTAACAAACCTAGTGCCTGTGGGCTGAGTGTCTCCCTCTTCTCTCTCCTGAAGAGGGCGACGTTGCCCAGCCCTGCTAGCACGGTTCCCCTACGTGCTCAGTCACCTTGGTCTTGGTCCAGCTCCTCCTCATAGCTGCCTGCGTGCACCCTGCTTTCTCTGGGTGGGCCCTGGGCATCTCTGCAGCCCTGTAAGACCCCTTGGATCCCAGTTCTGGCCTTGAACGTGGTGGCCAGCTTCCTGCAGGTGTGTCCTGGGATGTGCAGCGTAGACAGGCAGTGATCCAGCAGGGAATGTGGAGAGGCGAGGTCTGCCCCGTGTGAAAACCCCACCTGGCAGTGGCAGTTAGTCATCCCCTGGGGCCTGTCGTCCCCCCGCTCATAAGTGTACTCAGCTGTGCAGGTCAGCCACAACCTCCTTCCGGCTTGTCTTTGATTTAAAATCCCTTGTGGGTTTTTATACTGTTGTTCCCCTCCCAGTTTTAAAAGCACTGTAATTTTCAGTTGAGACTTGGAAACTTGTAAGAAGTATGACAGAGAAAGAAATGACCACGTAGTGATGTCACCAAGGCCCTCTGGTGACTCTCCTGTCACTGCATGTCCAGCTCTTGCTGTGTTTCTGGAAGAGCTGACTTCATAGATTTGTGTAGTTTTGATTGCTGATCTTTTCAACTCAATATTATAACATGAGCATCCCCTTGCTGTTAAAAACTCAACGAGCGTAACTTAATGGCTCCATGAAATCCTATCACAGGGCTGTGTCCGAATGGTCATTGTGGGTTGTATACAGTACTTTTGAGTTTACTTTAGATTTTACAGACTAACAGTGTAGTGAACATAGTCCCCACGTGTCTGGCTGCATGGTGTTCGTGCACATGTGCGCGTGAGGAACTGTATCTGCATCCATGAGAGCCCATAAACAATTACAGCGCATACGAACACAGCGTCATGTGGGCGCTCGTTTCCCCCATGCGAGCCATCTGAGGAAGCAGGGACAGAGCTGCAGTGGTCAGGCTTGTGGCCTGTGCCAGAGCCTGTCATGGGGCTGGGGTCCAGCAGTCACTCCCACCTCCGTGCCTCTCTCCTCTGCACTGGGGCTCTCTTGGCAGCTCTCTTTTCCTCCACTCAGGTTTGATGGAGATCACTTACTAATCTGGCCAAGGCTCGTGTGGAACCAGAAGCTGCAGTCGCCACCCTTCCTGGAACTGACACGCAAGTCCCCAGAGTGATGGCCAGGCCTTGTCTACCGTGCACCTCAAACCCCAGAAGTTGGTCACTGGGGCTGTCGCTGCACTTCCTGCTCCTGTCGACTTACCATTTAAATAAATCTCGGTTGCCAATGGCCTGTGTGCTGGTCCTGTGCTCCCCTGGGTTGGCTGTGTCTTCTGTGTGAGCTGAAACCCAGGGTCCTGACTCCTTCCCTGGCCTGGCCGACTGCCTGGAGTGAGATGCAGTTGTGCCCTCCCGTCCTTCAGGGACTTACCCCACGTGTGCTTGTTTGCAGCAGCCGACATTGCACCTGTACCTTGACCCTGGGCCACTGGGTGCCCGGCTCCCCTTGGCTCCTGTTTCCGCCCCCTCCAGACTAGCCTGTGGCCCTCCATCCAAGTTATCGTGGAGGCAGAATGAGGGCCCCTGAAATGTCTTCCTGATCCCCAGACCTGTTATTGTGCTACTTTATGTGGCAAAAGGGGCTTTGCAGGTGTGACCAAGGCTCCGGAGGAGGGAGGGTCACCCAGAAATATGTGGGAAGGCTCAACATAACCACGGGGTCCTTAGAAGGGGAGATGTGTGCCCTGAGCAGGGGTTGGGCGACACCTTGGGGCAAAAGTGAATATCAGTGGTCACTCAATGCTGAAAGGGCAAAGAGCAGATTCTCAGAACCCTCAGAAAGAGCCGGCTTTGCCTGGCCAGCATGGCTTGGCAGTTGAGCATCAACCTAGGATCCAGGAGATCGAGGTTCTATTCCTGATCAGGGCACATGCCTGGGTTGCGGGCTCGATCCCCAGTTGGGGGTGTGCAGGAGGCAGCCAATCAATGACTCATCATTGATGTTTCTATCTCTCTCTCCCTCTCACTTCCTCTCTCTGAAATCAATAAAGACATATTTTTTAAAAACTGGCTTTGCAGCACCCCAACAGGAGCCAGTGAAGTTGATTTCAGACTTCAGACTGCAGAGCTTTGTCCACAGCCACTTGGCTAGTGTCATTGGTCACAGCAGCCATAGGAAGCCCACAGGATGAGAAAGGGCTCCTGAGTGCTTGTCCTACAATTCAGACACACAAGGCCTGTCCACCCCCACGAGCCTGGACCTGCGTGCGTAGAGGGCAGCTGCTGCGTCCACCATCTGAATCTGGGTCGTGTCCCTGGAGCGTGGCTGCAGACCGCACATGCCACGGCAGCTGTCCACGGCTGCTGTGCTGCTAGTGGGGCCTGACCCCGGGTCACCTAGTGTGAGGGCAACTCCTTGCTGCCGCTGTCAGGGCTTCAGTTCACGGAGAGGTCCGCAGGCTGGCGGTGGCCTGTCGGTGAGGCTCCTGTAGCACAGGCCTCCCCTCATCCACAGTTGTGCTTTCAGTTACCCATTGTCAACCATGGTCCAGAACTATTAAATGCAAAGTTTTAGAAATAAATAATTCATAAGTTTTATTTTTAAAAAATATATCTTTATTGATTTCAGAGAGAGGGAAGGAGGGGGAGAGAGAGAGATAGAAACATCAATGATGAGAGAGTCATTGATCGGCTGCCTAACCTGCAACCCAGGCATGTGCCCTGACCAGGAATCGAACCCTGATTGCCTGGATCCTAGGTCGATGCTCAACCCCTGAGCCATGCCCGGCCGGGCAACAATTTGTAAGTTTTAAATTGCAGGACATTCTAAGTAGCGGGATAGAATCTCTCACCATCCTGCCTGGGATGTGAACCATCCTCTGTCCAGAGTGTCCACATGGTAGACGTTCCCTCCCGTGAGCCACTTAATGTCCCAGGTGTCAGAGGGACTGCGAGGTTCCACAGTGTTGGTCCCGCCACCCTTGCTTTCCTTAGTAATGCCACATCCTCATGACTTCTGTTACAGTTTGTTGTTATAATTGCTCTATTTTATTATTAGTCATTGTTAATCTCTTACTACCATTTCAGACATCCATGGGGGGTCTTGGGAAGTATCCCCGCAGGTAAGGGGGGATGACTCTATAACTCTGGGACGCTGGATTGAATACAAGAGTAGAATTTAGAAAATCTAGAAACAATGGAAGGCCTGCAGAGTTCATGTGTCTGAGTGTTGTGCCCGAAAGCTGGGCTTTTTACACAAGATTCCACAGCGGTGAGGTCTGCACCCTTGGTGAAGACCAGGTGGTCAAATTACTGAGTGGCTCACCTCAGAAGTGTTGAGGTGGTGGGTAGGGCTAGGTCTTCACAGGAAAAAGGTGCAGCCGACACCAGAGGCTGAGCGTTGCAAGATAGCTCCAGATGCAAAACGGACCCTCTGCACCCCTGAAACTCCACCTGTGTAGCTCAGCATCCTGCTTGCTGCCTCTGTGGTCCTTGCCTACGTCTGCCATGATTCATACTCATCGCAGGTGTTGATCAAGCACCTCTCTGTCATAATAGACTGTCCCATTCGTCCTGACTGGCTGGGGAAGGTTACTCCTGAGAGGTTGAGACTGCGGGTAGGTAAACCAGGTGCTAAGTGTGGATTCCCTGGTGGGTTCGGCACAAGGGACCCCACGTGGGGCCTGTGGTTGGTTCTTGCTTCATGTCTGTCAACCTGAAGATCAAAAAGAAGCCTCCGGTAGCAGCAGGTCCTGCAGTAACACAGGTGCCGTGGAAGTGAGGCCCGTCAAGGCCCCCACAGATACCGTGGAGCCACGGAGGGAGAGGCAGGGACAGGGAACAGGATCTGAGCTCAGCTAAGCCCAATGCGGGGACTCATCCTCACTTCAAGTCTGCAAATGCAACTTGCTAAACTCGACTGAGGAATGATGTGACCTGGGTGAGCTCTGAGAGCCCAGGTGGACCCACGGTCTCCCAGTTGTGGACGAGCTTGGGTCCTGAGGTCTGAAGCCTGAGGGTGGATTGAGGCTTCTAGAGGGCAGAGTGGAGAGAATTTAGAGACAAGGAGTGAGAGGAGGGTGTCCTTGAGTGGGAGTCAGGGACTGGGACCCTAGGAGTTTCCTGGTGGAGCTGACAGGAACATGAAACCATCACAGGAAAAGGAGTCATGAAGGGCAGCTCTGCCTTGGGCTGGTGACGTGAGGGGTGGACCTGAGGGTGGCCATCACATTGGCAGAGTCTGCCTCCCCTCAGGAGTAGCCATATGGTCCGCTTGGGCCAAAGGGACAGTGTGCTCGGGTGACTCCAGTGGGAAGGAGCTGGGCTCGCTGGTGGAGTGAAAAGACCATGTAGGGCGGGCGTGCACTGTCCCAGATGAGGCCCTCCCTAGACCCAGGCCCCATCCTCCTTGCCTGCTGGCCGCAGATGGCCAGCTGAGCCAGCCCAGCCCAGCCCACTGGCAGAATCCTGGGCAAAATGAGTGGTGGTGGTTCTAAGGCACGGTGTGTGGGGAGAGTTTGTTACTCCTCAGGAGGTAACCGGTGCAGGTGAGGGTGCGGGTCAGGGGAGGAAGGTAACTCACCGGTGGATCGGTTCCTTCATTAACGCGTTTTCTGTGCCAAGCTGGGTGCTGGCGCAAAGGTTTAACAATGGATATGGCAGACGTGCTCTCTGCACTCAGAGCACCGTCAGGCAGTGGTCTCGGTGACGGGCTTGGCCACTCCAGTGTCCTGTGGCCAGTGCAGGAGGGAACTCTGGGAGGTGCTTCAGAGAGAGGGAGATGTGTAAGCGGAGGTCTGAGGATGTGCCAGGTGGTGGCACCCGAGGTGGAGAAACAGAAAATAGAGTTTCCGACTCTATGAGAGGTTGGAGTGGTGGGAGAGAGAGTTCCCCTGGGTTGGAGCTGATGCTTCGGGGGGGCACATGTTTCCTCTCGGGGTCACGGAGACCCCCAGGGGCTTACAGGGTACTTTTTAAGGCATCCGTTCCCAATGGGCGTGATTCTTCCCCTGATGCTGCAAAAACAGGTTCTTGGATGTGGTTTGTAGCCCTGCAAACAGCCACAGTGCATAGCCAACATCAGCCTGTGTGGTGTTAAACGTGGTGGAGGAAAATGTCTAGAATGTCTGCAGAGGGGGGAGATTGTGGAAAAGAAGTGGAGAAACATTCACTTAAGAGACTCCGTTCCCAGACCCTCACCTCCTCCCACCTCGCAGAAGAGCATAATTCTAACTCATCCCAAATCCTTCCCTGACGTTTTTCCCTGGAGAGTAAAACCTGGGGTGGGGGATTCCAAGACGCTTTGGAGTAGTGGGAAGCTCTGTCCACTTGCTCCCAGCACTGGACCAGACTTGCGGCCAAACTGCAGAGCATTCAGCTTGAAAAACCAGTTGAATGATAGCTGATCTGAAATACTGTGAATGGGGAGTGTGGAGACGGGACAGGAGGAGACACCTAGAGGCTAATCCATCTCTTGCAGCTGCGCAGCAGCTATGTGGCTGGGAAGCTGGAGGGAAGTTGTGGCAGCAGAGCCCCTGTTCCCCGGGAGTGTGCAGGTCTCAGCCCCACTCAGGGATCCGTACTCTAGAGCAACAGAGAAGGGAAGGGAGCCTGCGTAGCATTGGGCAGTGGGGATCATTGGTGATTCGGTCCACCTGGGAAACTCAGACCCCACTACTCCAGGCAAAGAGCGAGTGCTTTGTTACACACCAGCCTGGGAAGTTCACTCCTATCTGGGTCTGCTGGAGGGGCCACATGGCTGAACTTGTGGCCAGTGGAGGCGTCTGACTGGCACACCCAGCAGTAACTCTGAGGGACCCTTTATTCTCTGAAAGAACTTTTGTTTTTATTGATTATTATTTTTTTTTTTTAGAGAGAGAGAGGAAAGGAGAGGGAGAGAGATAGAAACATTGATGAACCCTAATGGGGATCAAGCCTGAAACCTGGGCATGTGCCTTGACCAGAATCGAACTAGCCACCTCAGTGCATGGACCACACTCACCACTGAGCCACACTGGCCAGACTGGAAGAACTTTTGGTGGAGAGCAGGATGGGGGCTGGACAGTGTGGCCCAGGAGACAAGATCAGTCCTGCCCACCTACAGTGCAGGGGAAGTGCCCCTAACCCCACCTGTGGAATGACTGTTGCTGTCCTGCCCTGCTGTGATCTGAGGCAAGGGAGAGGGTTCTGGGCTGGGCATCTGTGCCCATGTGGCTGGCTCTGGCAGCACTGAGGACTCGGACATTTGGCCTGGTCGCAGCCTGGGTGGAAGGCCCAGCCAGCTGGGGCCAGC